ATACAACAATTTAATGATTTTTTGTACAGTATTATTATTATTTAATAGAACAAAAAGAAATATATTCGACGTGTCATGTGTGTATTTTCACTCAGTTTCATTCAATTGTATACAATAATATAGTATTTGTATTACAACTCTGCCTTAACTGCACCATGTATATTATTGATGTTACTTGTCACTGTGCATCTCTTCCCTGTTCTAAATACAAAATAATACAAAAATAAAACTGATTAAACACGGACGTCGTTACTTCCTACTTTTCATCAATCCGTCTGAAGCACTTGAGATCTGCGAGATCACCAATCAGTCAGACTGCGTGATCGATGCCGAGCGGAGGAAATCACCAGGAAGCGCTAAACAGGAAGCTAACGAGACAAATGAAGCTCAATGTGGAAACAGAGCTGAGTCACTGCTGCAGAAAAAACACATTCTGCTGTTTGCCTAATCATCGCTTGATTAACCATTTAAATGTAATTGTGTCCAGCTGCATGTGATAAGATAACTGAGTGTGTGCAGTGCAACACAAAACTTATATGTATTTGATATTTGACTTTCCCTTGTTCTGTTCATGTAAATATTTGTATTTAATCTTCTCAGATTCTTCATTTCATTTCTGTTGGTCTATATACATATCTTTATTCTAATTTTTACTTCATTATCCAAACTTTTATTGGACATTTAACTATTTTGTTATGAGTGTAAAGATATATTTGTATTGCACATTCTTACTACTAACTTCTTATGATACAATTCAGGCTTAAATCAAGCCAACGTTTGCATTGGGTTTGGTTGGACGTAACAGTGAGTCAGTCATAACTCACAGCTTATTATTATTATTGTTATCATTTTTTAAATTACATTATTAGCATAAACTGGGAAACAGGGCTTGACTTATCTCTGAAGCTTTAAGGGAGAGTAAAGTGTATCTGTAGTGGTGTGTTAATCCTCAGAAGACGACCGGTAATCTGTTGACCTCTCTCTGCTGGTGCCAAACACACACACACACACACACACACACACACACACACACACACACACATTTACACATGCACACACACACACACAGACACTTCCTTAGGAAACTACCTGCAGCCAAAAACATGTCTGACCATCAAAGTGGAAGATTGGACAACACTAGCCTCGCCAGACACACACACACACACACACACACACACACACACTCACTCAGACATAACCCTGACCTCATTCTACTGTGTACAAGAAGATACAGCCACTTACACACTCTCTTGCTCTCCATCGCTATTTCACACACACACACACACACACACACACACACACACACACACACACACACACACACACACACACACACACACACACACACACACACACACACACACACACACACACACACACACACACACACAGGGTGGTACTGTAGTAGCCTGGGGGTGTGCGAGCAGCTGTGAATAATTGTGTTTACAGACGGCATACGTCAGACCTGTGGGTTGAGTGAGAGAGAGTGTGTCCTCACAAAAGAAGACATGGATGACATTAACTATGAATCTCTCCTCTCCCCCTTTAAAAACAAAACCGTCTCTTCCATAAGCCTAATTGGCATAAGTGCCAACGAGGCGTTCACAGTCAAAGCAGAACAATGGAGTAAGAAAAGTAAGGAAAGCCAGTGTTTCCCCGATGCGTGTCTAATGAATCATTTGGCTCCAGAAAGCAGGTAAATGAAGCACTTGATTTATGCCAGAGGGTAACGGAGCTTCAGAAAGAAAGCAGTAAAAGCAACAGCTACTGTAAATCATGGTCTCATTTATACAAGATGTGGCAGTGTGTGAAGTATCTGTGATAAGTCTTCAAAAAAAAGAAGAGAACACTTTCCTAAAATGTCACTAAATACATTTTTAAACAAAGGTGAGAATGTGAGGAAGTGATTTCCCGACTAAATGTGAGGGATCGAATGCGTCTTTGTATTCATTGATTATGTTTGTTTAGCAGTATAATGACTATTTAAAACCACATAAGGCTTACAGTACAGTTTGTGTTGGTTTATGTCTTTTTTGGACATAAAGGGTAAATAAGTTAACTTATCACTCATCTATTATAAGAGGCAACCCAGTCTCACGGCATTTCGTGTTATTAGTCACGAAATTAATTTAATTTAATCTACACGATTTTCACCTTTTTTTCGTGTCACACAGAACGATTTTAAAAGCAATGTATTTCTATTGGTAGTATGTTTCGTGCCTGCAACACGTCTTTTTGTCCGGTCGGGTCTTGGAAGACCAGAAGCTGTGTGGTTCATAAAAACATGTTCTTACTCAATATCTTACCCTAAGCCTGACCCTATCCCTTTTATTCTAAATTGTATAATGTCTGAGTTTTGTTGCCGTCAGTGAGGAAAAGAAATGGCTCAGAGCCTCAGAATACTGACATCTGTATTTTATGTCATCTTTTTTTCCTTCTAATTTGTTATTATTTGGTGCAGGCACGAAACATACTACCAATAGAAATACATTGCTTCTAAAATCGTTCTGTGTCAGAATACTGAAATCTGTATTTTTTTAAATGTCTTTTTCCTTCTCATTTGTTATTATTTACATTGCTTTTAAAATCGTTCGGTGTGACACGAAAAAAATGGCGAAATCGTGTTGGTGAACACGAATCAATAGATTAATTTCATGACTATAACACGAAATGCCGTGAGACTGTGTTGAAAGAGAAGATAAGAATATATTTAGTTCTTGCTATTCCATGCTCAATGTATTATAATATGTCTAAAGTAAAGCAACAATTACTAACCAGAGGGTTCGGAGAGCAAAGTAAGCATGTAGCATTTCACAAATCTGCTAACAGGCTAAAGCTAACATCCTGGTCCAAGTCCAACCTGCCAGTTAACATCTGTTAGCTAAATTAAATGTGTAACGTACCATTTGGTTTGGGTGTTTCTACTTTACAACAGATAGAAATATTAAAGTGCTAGCATCGAGTCAAAAATAAGCAAACATGTATACTTTGTAGGCTACACTGCTAGACTGGTGGTGATTAGATAGAGAAGGGTTAGGGTTAGTGTGGATAACATCTAGTCTGTTAGTTGTTGATACGCATGTGATATTCACTGTGCTAGCATCAGTGTTGCCAACTTGGCGGCTTTCTCGCTAAATTCGGCGACTTTCCAAACCCTCCGGCTAGTTATTTTTGTCAAAAGCGACTAACGACTAATCTAGCGACTTGTAATGGTGTTATTAGAGACTTGGTGTTTGGAGACTCACGTATTGTTCTGCAGTTACCGAGCCGCGGGTGCTTCCGTGAGCCCCTCTGCCGTCCCATAGGCGCTCAGACTCACAGTTGCCTCCCGCATCAGCTCAGCTGCACTCAGAGCAGAGAGGAGACCCACACTCTACGCGTCCAGACTGAATATTAATATGAATATTAATGTCAATACTGGCTTGCAGAGTGTCTCTTTTGGGTCACTTTGCCAGTCCCAAGCCCAGACAAAGAAGGGAGGTAGCAATTCCATCCCACATAACAATTGTTTTGATTAAATGTGACTAATTCTTTAACAATAGCCTACTGGACAAAATGTATGTATGTAATGCTGGTCTAGACAAAGCATTAAAGTCATCAAGTGATGGCCAAACATTTAAAACAAATTAAGAATCAGCAGAAGTAAGTTCATTTGTAGTTCTGAACACATTAAGGGTGTTTTTCTTCACTTTTTGTCTCTCCTTCGGCGTCCATTACAACTACGTGCAAATGGCTAAATATGCAAATTAGGCGATGACGTCATTTAGCGACTTCTAGCTACTTTTAGGACAGCCAATAGCTACTGTCCTTACTATGGAGTTGGCAACATTGGCTAGCATTAATATGATAAATTAAAGACTTAGTTAGAGACCCTTACCAAACTTGCTTCAAACACAACAAGAGAAAAGCACACACTTAAAACATATTGTGAGTGGTGTGTAGCATATTAGCATCATCACACAAGTACTAATAATAACCTATATTACAAGTTGTTCCCCTACTCAGTTCAAGATATGTAAAAGTTAACATGCTAACGCCATTTTGAGAATACGCTAGCATGACAGCTAAATTCGGGCTAACATGCTTTTCCCGCCAAGGACTACACCAAAGCTTTTACGGTTAAAGTCTACATCAAAGTCGCTACTAGGAAAACAAAACAGTTGTATTTGCCAGATTTCAGTATTTCAATTGCTAATATTTTACATAAAACATGCAAATAACATTTATACATTTGATTGCAGCTAATTTGCTGCGTGATAAAACTAGCAGCAAACTCAAAAGTAAAGCAAAAATATGTTCATGTGTTGTGAAGTGATGTAGCATCATTTACACCTTTTGGCAACATAGAGTAATGTTAGTGAATTTTTCAGTCAGTTTAAGTGTTTTTTAATCAATAAGGCAGTCAAAATGCTAAGTCATGGTAGCAATATGCTAACAAGACATTCAAAGCTACAAACACTCTTGTGTGTGTTTTGTTCAGACAGCCAGGTTGATCTTTATGGTGATGTAGCATCATTAGCATCTCTGCCATCAACCTGTTAGCATTATGATTTAAAGGCTGCCGTCCTGTGACTGATAATCAGGCAAAGATAAAATAATCAACATGCTAACATGACGCCGGGCTGACAAAATGCTAACTAGTGAACACAGAGGTCCCTCTGAGGATCTATAAGTGGAGCTGATGGAAGGTTGGACTCTGTATGATTTACATAATTGGGGATGTTAATTCGTCAAGCCGTGGGAGTTGATTATGTTGCATATTGATTGTGTTGTGCTGCTGAGAGGTCACACACCTCTTTAACGAAGGCATACACGGGAAAATGTGGGAGTCTGATTAAAAATACATTGTTAATATTCCTGCTGACATGTTGCATTTTGACATGTGTGTGTGATGGTGTGTGTGTGATGGTGTGTGTGTGGAAGCCAGCCAGGGTTTGATGGATGTATGGAGAAGGTGAAAAGAGGAAGTGAAGGGAGGGGGAACTCCCACCTGGTCTTACCGTTCTCCGGGTGCTCCATCTCTCCGATGCTGCCGTCGGGCGTGGTTCTCTCGTAGTGGTCCTCGGGCAGCGCCAGGGGGCCGACCCGGGTCCCCGAGGAGGACTTGGAGCTGGGCGTCTCCGACTCCTCCAGGCCGCTGTCGTAGTAGCTGTGCTGGGACGGGTCCTGCAGGTCCTGCAGGTCCTGCGCCTGATTGGCCGTGGAGAAAGTCACTCGGCGGTGGGGAGGCTGTGACTGGAAGAGAGAGAAAAAGGAGGCGGGATTAGTGACTTAAGTCAAAGTCAAAAGTCAAAGTCAACTTTATTGACAATCTTTCAGTTTGTGTGTCCAGACAGAGAGATCGAAATACCGTTTCCCACAATCCCGAATTCAAAAATACAAATATATATAAAGATATGTATATCCTATATATACACAATCAACCGACACATTTATACATCTGCACACATTAAGACAAAAGCACAACAATCAATATATACAAAATAACATCTTTAAGGCTCATAATACTGGTCCAGGAAAGAGTGTTAAAGTTGGAAATGAGTCAGCATGTTGGCACTTCCTGTTACCTTGTCTAGATGACAATGATGTGTGCACTGGAACAAATTATACTCCAAAAGCAAGTTAAAGGGGACCTATCATGCAAAATGCACTTGTGTACGTCTTTTCTACATGAATATGTGTCCCCGGTGTTCCAGGGAACTCACCAAGTGTCAGAAAACACCTCTCTATTTTCCTCCATACCCAAATCTCTAAAAAAGGGGCTGCAACGGATCTGATAAAAACTGATCCAGATTTGAACACTGTCCTGACGTCAGGACGGTGGCGCTACGGCTATTGGGCCAACTCCACCAATCAGGAGGAGACAGCCACGGCCATTGCCGTTCGACAGCGCTGGAGACGCTGTCGTACATATGCCAGGCCTGTAGATGGTGCTGTTCTCACAGAATTAGCCCAGAGCTAACATTTTTCAAATTGAGCGAAATGAGGCATGGCTAAAATGCATGATCTGTTTGGTATTTTGAACAAAAAAAAAGTATAAATATGCCTTATATAGGTATGGTCCTACACTATATTATTATAATATAGCATGATAGGTCCACTTTAAACAATAATGAAAACAAGCTATTTTCACTTGAAATAAGTACACAAATCTGCCAATAGAACAAGTGAAAAGTTGCTTGGTGAGATTTCTTGAAATAAGAAGGGATATTTAGATAAATTAGATCTTGTAATGAACTATATTTGACCAGAATCAGGAAATGTTGTGTTACAATATAAGGTGCAAATGCTCAAAGGTTTTCTGTTTTCTGATGTCAGTTGGTGATTTTCTATTAAATATGTAAAGAAATATGTGTTTCATCTGAGATACAACTCAAAATAAGATTTTATGACTGAACAAGATGATGCATTGTCTAAAAACAAGACCTGATATCTCACTGTAGTGTTACTTCTGAAGTTATTGTGTCTTATATCAGGTGTAGAGACATATGACTAGATATTAGACACATATACTGGGCAAGATTTCCAGTTGTTGTAGTGTGAATGTGTTTCCGGTTAGAAGCCTGTCTACAGTAATAGGAATAAGTCCTATTACTCAGAAATGACTCATTACCTTTTGTTAAGGGAACCAGGACGTTGCTAACTTCCGGGTCAGCCGACAATAATACCCTGCACCAATTAAATGACACTTTAAGTTAAATTGAACATGAGATGGTTTCATTAGAAGTCAGTCTCGGTGTGATGTGATGCAGATGAAACATTTTAAATGATTAAAGAAATAGACTAGAAGCCACGTTCTAAAAATAACTCTCAAAGAAGTCATTTAGACACAGTGACTTGAACACCTTCCAAAACTTTCATCACTTGAAATCTCTCAGTAGAAACCACAAGAATCAACTTTCATTTCATCAACACAGATCTCATTTCATCTCATCGCTGCTTTCATGTCATCTTATTTCATTTTACATCATCTGATTATATCATCTTCTATCGTTTTCATATTTTTAAAAAACCAGAGGACATCAATCAATCCATGCCCAACACCCAAGAGACCGTCACAACCAAATCTTAAGAGCAAAAATTAATTGGTGTTTTTATAAGAACAATTTATTCAAAATGTTTCTCACATTATAGGGAAGAAAAGGCCATCAAATGTGTTTAAAATGACTAAATCAGATTAATTGAGAAGTACAATGATATACTTATTAAAAACTATATCTATCGTTTTGGATAGAGATGTTTTTTTTGCATTTGCATATTTTGAAGCCCACGCACATTCTGTCCTGAAGCACATTGTTTTCATAGAAGCGTAAGGATGAACATACACCTCACTGCTCCATGTATTGTGTGTTTGAGTGTGTGTGTGTGTGTGTGTGTGTGTGTGTGTGTGTGTGTGTGTGTGTGTGTGTGTGTGTGTGTGTGTGTGTGTGTGTGTGGGGGTGCAAGGTGGCTGTCGGATGTGTGTGTGTTTGATGGTTATGTAATTAGAAAACAATTAGCCTCCCTATAGCGCTGCAGGGGAGGACGAACGCCACTCACACAAACACAACCACATACATACACACACAGACAGACAAAGTGAAACCCCCCCCCCCCCCACACACACACACACACACACACACACACACACACACACACTGTACAAATACATTGAGTGCTGCCAAACAAAAGCTGCCCCATATTCAAAGGCACACAATGCACGGTCAAACATTTCAATCACACTCATACACACACTGACACTGACACACACACACACACACACACACACACACACACACACACACACACACACACACACACACACACACACACACACACACACCGGCCCGGGCTGATAAAGAGCATCCCTGGCTCGGCAGATACTCGTCACCATAGCAACTGGGCGCTGCCAGGACCCAGAAACCAGTAAAACCAGCAGCTCATCACAGAAACACACCAGGGTTCAGCTCTTCTTTTTAATGCTGTTATCTCACACTTTTGCTAAGCGGCTTTCTTTTTCCTTTTGCAGCGCCTGAACGATTTGCTGTCGCTTCACAAAAAGTATTTTATTTATTGTGCAGGGATTCAAACCAGCAACCCTCTTATCAACACACTTTACAACCATCATGGAAACTGGGAAACCAACACGGACAAAAACATTGACTTGTAAATCAGTCAAATAAATAAAGTTTAGGAAACACAACTCAATAACACTGTATAACTTCATTCGATCATATTACAGTAATTAGTGTGAAGATTAAAACATATAAAGACTTTGGCATGAGTTGTAAAATGCTGAATCAGCACCGTAACATACATGATCTGCACTTATTCTGTAACGATAACTTGAAGCTGGATGTATGAAGAGAACTGGGCACCGTTCATTCCTATTTGCTCAGAAGCCCAACATGGAGCGACTGTATATTCAGAAAGTACCCAGGTCATCCCATGAAGCATAAGTCCCTTTCAGACCCTAATGATTCAAATAAGGGCAATGAAAGTGTTCGCACTGGCTAAAAAGGCGTCTCCTTCCCAATGTAAGTCAATGGGAGATCATCTTTTTGGGACAAAAGTCTCTTCTTTAGATGAGAAGAGAAGTGTAATACCACCGTTTGGCCACTACACAAATGTGCTTGCCCTCTTCGTTCCGCGTGCCATGAACGGCCAAATGTTGTGTCATGTTAAATGTTATGGCTGCAAGGAATTGTGGGACGGCTTTATCTCCTATCTCCTTTCGTAAAGGGTGGCAGTGTATCATATGCTAAATACGCATTTAAGCTCCTTTCCTATGATCAGGAGAACTTGAAAAACTTGTATCATTGCTGACACTCAGGCACTTCCAGGTCATTTCACTCCGTCGGGAACCTTCCTAAGCTGAATAGACAATTCGACTGCAACCCTCGTGTCATTTTGTCTTGAAATGAAGGATTATATTTCACATGACTGACTATCTCTCAATGTTTAGTCTCAAACTCTCAGTTGAAACACCTGTTTGATCCACGGTTACTGGTGACTGGATGTTGGGAAATCAAATTAAAAACATCCACGTTGTTCTGTTCGCTTTGGAACGTGTTGTTTTGTTTTTCCCGAGCTGTCTATTTTAAAGAACACACACATGGTGGTTTTGTACTGCCAGGAACACACTCTCAGAGAACAAACATTTCCGTTTGCCAGATATTCAGATTGTCCTTATACCTGCAGCGGCCTCTCCGTGAAATAGTTGTGCATTCAGAGAGGCAGTTTGTGTTATTAATAAATGCTTCCTGCTTATATTGCTGCGTGAGCATTAGGAAATAAATCACATCTATATATACATGAAGAGGGAAATGAAGCGGATCACATCTCCATCCCTGTCGCCTTACACACACACACACACACACACACACACACACACACACACACACACACACACACACACACACACACACACACACACACACACACACACACACTCTGTAAAATCCCTGCTTCTCTGCCCTTTTTGTACTTGTGCATGTGTTTGTTTGCTTGAAATAGAAGTGCCGTCTCAGCAGGTTGCACCATGGGAAAGTGGAGCAGATCAGAGGGGAGGAATATAAAGACCAACCGGCATCCAGAACCACCTCCACCTCAGCCTCTTGTTCCAGATCGGAGCCATGCTGAGGACAAAAATGGCTGCCATCTGCCTGACCGTACGCACCGGTGTCCCTCGCTGCCCTAACTCAACCATGAACCTTAGAAGATCAGCAATTCTGTGTCTCATTTCTATTACTTTTGTGCTTACATGTGCGATGTTGACTGTAAAGGTACCGGATGGTGCCCTCAGTGCTCACAAAGTTGACACTTCTTACAGTTAACGGCCGCCATTTTGGCTCTGTGATGGAGGTTCTGTGACCAGTTGCGTTTGCTGTTGCTCTAGTGCAGTGATTCTCAAATGGGGGTACGCGGACCCCTAGGGGTACGTTGGGGTACTGCAGGGGGTACGTGAGATAAAAAAAATAAAAAGGTTAATTAAAAATTTATTTTTTTTAATAATAATACATGATTACAAAAATAATCTTAGTACAATAAATTAAATAGAAAACACAATTTTATATAAAATATTCCGAGAACCACTAAGGGGGTCCTCATATAAACATGTTACATTTGTGTATTGTATTTATAGTTTTTCATAATATATCATTTTGTTCATTGGTTTGTTAAACATATATTACTTCAATTGAAAAACTCCTTGGAAAAAATACAAATATCCTTAGTTTGTTGTAATTCATGCATGA